AGGCTCCCAGACCCGAATGGCATTCAGGAGCTCCCGCATGCAATTGGGAAATTCTGATCCAGAACGCCATTCGGGTCTGGGAGCCTCAGCTTTAGTATTATATGTATATACTGTATATGGCTCCCATGTTGCCGTAAAGGAAATTTGTGATCAGACCCATTCGGATGCATTAGATCCAAAAAAACACTTCTCATTGGCCAGAAAAGTCACATGTCCCATTCAGTTCAGTTTTTGAATGAAATTCGGACGGGATACAAAATTTGGAAACGGAGATTTGGATTCGGACGCATTGGGATTCGGAAATCCGGATGTGTCCGAATGTCCAAATTTCGTAAAATTTGTACGAATGTTGATTCGGAGCGGAACGGATCGCACGGGTCTATGATCCCCATGACAAGGCAGAAGATATTCAGCTCCCTCATTACGGGAACTGCAACACAATGACCAGATTGCATCCCCTGATCTCCATTCCGTTTTTTTGGTATCAGGTGTGACTCCGGTTTAAACACAAGAAAAAAAAAACAGCTTTATAAATTGCAAGAAATTTTAGCAACTTTGTTGCACATTCTTCTGTCCTGTAGATGACGTGAGAGGTCACGCAGGGCGCTTGCTGACATTCTACAACAGAAGTGCCTTTTTAATGATCACATGACCACCACCAGCGTTATAATCAAGGCACCAATACCCGGGAGGGTGATTGGAGGGGGTAATCTCCCAATCCGGCTCACTCAAGAGTTTTTATGTTCAATAGTCTAGCTGACTGATGTTGGGTTGGAGAGCGAAGGGGGCGGGGCTATTGAATAGGTTTAGGAAAATCTGTCCAATCCCTTTTGTTTCACCTGTAATAAGCCAATGCTGGGGCTGCTCCCGCCCCCTTCCCTTGCGCAACCCAAACCTTCGCCTATGGGGCTGTCCGAAAAGACGCTCCGATTGAGCTTTCACGTCCAACCATTCGCCGATGTCTCCGGCCAGCTGAAGAAACACTTCACAATGTGCGGCGCTCAGGTCCTGCAAGTAGCTCCCCACACCCCCCCCCCAGAATGCAGGAAACCCAAAGACTTTGCTGAGGATGCCATATCCCATGCAACAAGCTGCCTGCAACCTGGCTGCTGGAAGGGGCAGTGAACCAATTACAGGAGGAGAGCTGTGAGAAAAAACAAAATCTTATAAGAATACAGTTGCCATGGTTGCAAGGAAGAGAACTCTCAGTCGCTGGGAGTTATGGATATTCTTGGGTTGGCTGGAAGGTGAAGCTGCAACTTTTCTAACCTTAAACTGTATAAATGTCATGCACAGAAGTGATAAATGTTACGTCGGCTTTTCCGCACAGCCGGAGTCTTCCCATTGCGGCGATTACCTTTCCGTATGTGATAAATATTTCCCTGATACATTCTATTCTATGAGAGTTTGCGTGTTTGGGGGGGGAGGGGTGGCGGAGGTGAAGGACCGTCGTCGTCGTCACAGTTTAATATTCACACGCGTGGTAAGGTCTGGGACGGTGCGTCGCCTCAATCCGCCTGAGCCAGGGCGAGCTGCGCCGAGTTCATAGCGTCCGTTAAGAAGCTGAGCTCATTGCATAAAGTCTCGTGTCGGTAAGCCATGCGGATCTGGGCCACGTTGGTGCGGCTGATGCTGTTCCCTTCCGGACCCTCCTTCAGGTAATTGGTTCCCAGGAAATGCTTCTTCTCCTGCGGAGTCATTAGGAGGCAACAATGAGCGTCTCATTTATCAAAGTGTCTTACAGCCAGAACAGATAATTACACAGACCAGACTTGCTTTACCCGACAGAAGATAGGTATGTCTGCCCATCCAGTCCTGAAATTTACACAGCTCTGCCATACAGTACAGCCCTGTCTGGTGACCCGACATTTCTCTATCTATGACAATTAAGCAGCATAGCTTGGTCACCTTCCTTCCCTAAGCCTGTGATTGGACAATGATGAAGTCTTTACACCCGCTGTGCCCATTATGAGGGTGCTCCTACCATCATGTGTTAAGTTCCTGTGTTTGCCTCCTACTACTTCAATGCCAGACCCCCCCTCCTACTCCTTCAATGGCAGACCCCCTCCTACTCCTTCAATGCCAGACCCCCACCTACTCCTTCAATGCATTTCTCCCCTATATGGGCTTAGTATATGACTACTGTAGAGAAACTTGTCAAAGGAGTGGGAGAGGCTGTGACGGGGGAGCCATGTTCAGTTTGCATTACGTGCAATAAAGCTTGTTAGATATGAAGAAAATAAAAAGTACAGCCTGTTTGTATCCAGAAAGTAACCCCAGCAGACTCCCCATGCGCTGACCTTGTCGGAGAGGCCACTTTGCAGGACGCTGTTCCTGGCAAGCTCACACAAGTCGCAGGTGCTCAGCTTCCATACCTGGGCGGCGATGGCGTATTCTTCCATCAGCGCTTCCTACAAAACAGCGGATTCGTCAGTGTATTGTCGCTTGGCATGTGTGATGGATGAAGTGTATGAGACCGGGGTCAACAAGAGGGTTTCCTTTCGGATTGACGGAGGTTATTGAAATAAAATAATAATTCAAATGTACTTGTTACTCTGTCTCACCAACTCTGGAGATCGTTCATACATCCTGTTCAGTGTACCCCCCCGTGAGTTTACCTCCAAGTCCTTTAAAGGAGAACTATGAGGCGAGTGCTTTTCACTCACCTCATAGTTCTAGCCGACCTGTGACAATGAGACTGTAACAGGTGGGCTCAGTAGATCGGGAGGTGAGCGAACACATACCGGCGTTCACTCACTTCTCGATCCTGTCGCATCTCTCTGCCGTGACAGGGGAGGGGCTGGATTCCCCTCTCCCCGCTCCGCCAGCGCTGACTGACGAATCGGACGGGGGAGGGGGCGGGTACACCTGGCTCTGCCTCTAGATAGGCAGAGCCAGCTTCACTCACGCAGCTGGGCGGATCCCGGCATAATTGTCGGGATCCGCTCCAGCTGCGGCGTCTCAGTATAACGCAAGCTACAGCTCGCGGTATACTGAGCCTAGGGTGACGGGAGGACGCTAGTTTGTGTCCTCCCGTTACCCTCAGGAGAACTATGGGCAAAAAGCCCTGACCCCATACTTCCTTTCAAGCAGAGATGCTACACTTAAAGGGGAAGTCACATCTTAAAGGCCAAGTCCAGCCAAAATGTATATTCAGTTGTATGCAGATATCAGCAAGTTTAACTACAAGCTGCAGAGAACTCTGTGAACCCAACGGTGAGATTTACTCGCAAGTTCCAAGCTCCGCCCACCACTATGGCCATTCAAATAAAATCAAATTTGTGGATTTTCCATGAAATAAAATACATGAAGTGTGGACCCCAGCAGCTTATGACACAGGGGGTGAAATCTCATCCAGGAGTGATGTATAAAGCCAAACATTCACTCCACCTCCTGGCATTCACCCAAACGCAGAATTTCACCATTGGGTGGACTAGGCCTTTTAAACATTCCTATCTTCATAACGTATTCATTTATTTGTTATCACCTTGGTGTAGTGGAACTGCATGGGGTCATCCGTGGACAAAGACACGACGAGGCCTTTGTAGAGGAATTCTCTCAGCGGGTTTTTGGAATATTCCAGGAACAGGCTATTGTTGCTGAGCGGAGACATGGCGATGGGGATCTGTGCCAGGTAATACAGGTACTGCAGCACTGGGCTCTGCGAGAGCAAAACACAAACCATATTAGGTTACCGATACTCATAATAGACAGGTGTGCTCATTGCTGCTCAAGGGTGACATCTTGTGGTCATTTTGCAAAATGCAGAGAACGCTCTGCATATAGATTCCAGATTGCTGTTACATTTGTTTGTAATGAGAAGCTTCTTCATGAACACACTTCAAAGTTCAAAGCACAAAATGGAGTAAAAAAACAAAAAAATTATATATATATATACATACATACATACATACAGGTGAAACTCGAATAATTAGAATATCGTGCAAAGTTCATTTATTTCACTAATGCAACTTAAAAGGTGAAACTAATATATGAGAGAGACTCATTACATGCAAAGCAAGATGGTTCAAGCCGTGATTTGTCATCATTGTGATGATTATGGCTTACAGCTCATGGAAACCCCAAGAACCCCAAATCCACAACCTCAAAAAAGTAGATTATTACATGCAATCAATAAAACAAGGATTGTACATAGAACAATATCGGACCTCTGAAAAGTACAAGCATGCATATGTACTCAGTACTTGGTTTGGGCCCCTTTTGCAGCAATTACTGCAATTACTTTTGCACGATATTCTAATTATTCGAGTTTCACTATATATATATATAGATAGAGGCAGCAGGCAGGTGAAAGCGGCTGGGTGTATCCAGGATGGCATATATGTGTGTCCCAGTTTCAGGTCATATGCAGATTTTTTTTTTCCCTAGAGGGAGTGCTGGGAGGCTGGAATGGTAGAGGTAATGAGCCCATTAGGCCTCTTCAAAAACTCCCAGACGGCTCAGAGATTTGCTCCACCCTGGAACCAGTTTCATGCCTGAGTAGACTGGGGAGCTTTCTACTGACCTGTGTGGTGGCAAAGATCTATCTATCTATCTATCTATCTATCGTATGTGGTATATCTCTGAACTGTTTAGGGTTTATCGGTCATCTTATGTCTATTTGTTCTTTCTTTTGGTTATCAGGAGGCATTTCTCACTCCCAGATCCAACATTTATGACACCCCACTCACCCCCTCAAGAACTTTCTTTTACTTTAAGTGGTAAACTCTGTCATGTTGATTAGTATTGCTTCTGACCTGAAGAAGAGAGGTTAACTCTCCAAAGCTTGTCGTTTAAATATTATGTTAGTCCAATAAGAAAGGTATCATTGCACACTTCAATACTACATGTTCTTTTTCATTTTTGCAAGAGTTTGCAGAGAACCTAAACACCCCAAGCTTCACCCTTAGGATTTCTGCATAGGGAGGTTTGCATTCGATGAGGCACTTGCAAAGCGCACTGTTTGGAAGTGGTGGTGGTGTTGGTGGTGGGGTGTAATGTTTCCTATCAACACTGTGCATGCAATTATAGGACGCTTTCCCACTCAGCAATTACTGTTAGCAAGTATACTGGCATGGCTTCACTTTACCTTCAGATGAATAAAAGAAATAATTAAATTAAATCAGTAAAAAAAAAAAAAACACTGCAAAACATCAGAAAACAAATATAAG